ATTGAGGAAGCGCTGAGTCGTGCTCTACCGCTCTCCTCTGGACCTGTGTTTCTGCTGAGCTCTCAGCACAACAGCTGCAAAGACCAGGAGACGTTTACTGCTCATCACAGAGGAGAAAAGGTGCTGGAGAGAGAAAATGACAAATTGAAAGAGCTTGAAGAGCAGGACTGAAAAAGAGGAGATTTATTCAGTGAAGAAAACTGAGAGAGAAGGGCAGAAAAAGATGAACTCCACATGCAATAGGGACATAAATGAAGACAATAGAGAGTTTACTGGTAAATAGGACACACTTAAAGGCACAATATGTAAGATTTTTTAATTAAAATATCCAAAAACCACTAGAACCGTGTTATATATTTTGCTGACTTGTGCGGGATGATTGAGGAAGTGCTGAGTCGTGCTCTACTGCTCTCCTCTGGACCTGTGTTTCTGCTGAGCTCTCAGCACAACAGCTGCAAAGACCAGGAGACGTTTACTGCTCATCACAGAGGAGAAAAGGTGCTGGAGAGAGAAAATGACAAATTGAAAGAGCTTGAAGAGCAGGACTGAAAAAGAGGAGATTTATTCAGTGAAGAAAACTGAGAGAGAAGGGCAGAAAAAGATGAACACCACATGCAATAGGGACGGAAATGAAGACAATAGAGAGTTTACTGGTAAATAGGACACACTTAAAGGCACAGTATGTAAGATTTTTTAATTAAAATATCCAAAAACCACTAGAACAGTGTTATATATTTTGCTGACTTGTGTACTTACATTATCCCAAATGTTTCGAAGAATGTTTAAATCCAGAGAAATAAGCAATTTTAACTAGTGACACGGAGCGTGTCCAGTGTCATTGTGTCGCCTGACAATGACGTCATAACCCCTCGATTTCCGGTTTTGTAGAAACCATGGAAACACCAAAGACGCTTTAATATGTTGTACGTTTTATTAGACCGGTGACGACCGCACAGAGTAGCATAATAACAGAACTTAGGCCAATGTATCTAGTATAATAAAACAGCGCTGCTTTACCCCACATACGCACGACCGGAAGAAGCAGAAGCAGTCGACTGTGGCATAATAAAAGCTCCGCTGCTTTCAAGCCGTGTGTCGCACTCGTTCAGCGGCCTTGTTTCGCTTTGACGGCTTTCAGCCTCACCCTGCTTCATTCTACTATGTTAATAAATCATTAGCTCATCAATTAACATGATTTCTGCCCGAGTCCCGTCGGATTGCATCGGCTGTGGGGATGAAGACCACAACTCCCATGATTCCACACTCAGTCAAGGCATCATCAAACTACGCCTCGGCCTTGTTTATTTTGAATACGTGCCCTCCAGCGGCGAAAATTACATATTGTGCCTTTAAATCTGGGTTCACTGGTCCTGGTCCTGTCAGATTATTTTACTCCCATTCTTTCTATAACTACTGCTTCTTAAAGACAACAAGAAATTGCATTTGACTTTCATAATGGGACAAAGTTCTAGGTGAAACTGAATATTCAGTGGGAAACAATGACAGGGATGGGTTTTTTTGTCCTTTGGGATTTGGCCTCACCCATTTGGATTACAGCAGAAAAAAAGTTGTTGCAAAGGTGGACCACATTATTGCATTTTGATGAAGATTAGGAAAACATTTAGAGCAATATGAATCATGCACAGTAAGAGTAGGAACAAGTCAGCATGAAATCAAAATACACTCGTAACTTTTTATTTTCTTATTTTACATTTCCAGTCTTATTGTGCCCCAGTGTTATTTTAGAATTATCGCTACATTTATTACTTTTATACTATTATATTTTGTATCATTTTCAGTCAGTTGTTTATTTTTATATATTAATTTTTATTTATTTTTTGTTTTCGTTAGTTTTAGTAATTTTTGTGTGTTTTTGACATTTTTAGTAGATTTTGTCATATATATTTTGTTATTGTATACCGTTTTTAGCTATTTTAGTACATCAGTTTAAATGAGAAATGTTGCCTTGGTAACTAGTTAAAAAAAGTTGTATTTATATAATTTTTAGATTTTATTTTACATGACTTTTCTTTTTTGGCTGATCCCACAAATCCTCCATTCTGGTATGTAATTCCTACATTTTTCTCATTGAATACTCTGTTTCTGTTTCAGATAATTGAATAGGGTCAACTGAATAAGTAAACAGGGTACATTTAGATTTTATATTGGACAAATCTGTTCTCACCTCTCACTTTTCACTTACCATCTAGATTTTTCCTCACAGTTAATTTTTAGAAAAAATAGTTGCTAGCCTCTCTCCTCTCTCTGTGCTGTCTCTTTCATTTCACTCAGTAATGCCATGTATTTGACAATTGAAGACGTAAATAGATCCTCACCTCTCATCCAGGCCCCAGTTGGCCTCCATCAATCGATGCTAAAGACCAATCCAGGCGTTCCTGGACAGTAGGACTTGACAAGTCCGGCAGACAGCCGTGTTTCTGCACTGTCTGTTTGTTTGCTCTGTTCTCATCTCCTCTTTGTTCCTCCATTGACTCTCGCCGTGTGGATCGAGTGACTGCGGAGGCTTGCTGAGATAAATTAGCATCATTTTCCCACAGAATCTCAGAGAAAAAGGAAGTATGTCTATGCATCGTTGCATGAGGCGTCTCACCCATCGCTAAGCCTGATGGATCAAGCAGAATCACAACAGCATTGCTTTATCCGAAAGCTTTACTCGGCTGTGTGAATCCATTACACAGGCAGCATGTTTGAGGTTATACTGAGCGGGATTGATGGTTGGGGTTTTTACAGAGATCTAACAGACCTCACAGCGTTGGAGGAGCTCTGAGATGTTATAGATTCTCTTGGGAGTTGAGAACTGGATCTTAAATAATGTGTACATTCAGTTCCATTGTATTCTGAACTAATTTCTTATATAACTGTAACATTACAAATTTCAAATTTAATTTCCATATAGACACACATTGGTGTCCTGAACTATGATAAATTTGAGTTTATTTTGCAACAACAAACAACTCGATGTACATATATAACGTCATTAAAATCGTTGTTATGGTTTTTTTTTTTTGATTAATGAAACTGATTCTAATTAAGAACCAGTTGGTTAAAATATTTATAAAAATGTAGAATCTAAAAAACATTTTAGAATTATTGTTTATATATATACACAGTTTG